TTTTTTCTCCAGCATTGACAATTTGGGATATAAGCAATCCCTTCTCCTGAGATCAGAAAGGGCCTGGGGGTTGAACGAGCAAGGGGCTCGCAGGGTTACTCCGCCCCAGAAGTCACAGAGGCACCACAGGGCAAAGCAGGCAGAGCTCGAACCTTGTGCCCACTGCAGGAATGCTTTTAAGCAGTCTGTTCCCAAGGCAAAGACAAGACTCAGGGTTTTGGAAACAGGACCTTGTATGAGAGAACTGGCAGCAAGCCTGCACGGAAGGATGTTAGGGAGAAGCCTCCACGTGTCCATTTGCAGGGCTTTCCCTGCCATGGACACAGCACAATTCCTGGCACACAGACACAAGCAGAATGGCTCTTCCTTCCATCAAAGCAGGAAACTTCTAAAAGGTTGTTCAAATCTGTCCCATGCCTACTGTCCAGTCACACAGACACCCACCACCAATGGAGTGGGTTCCTGAGCCCAGCACAGTGCAGTGCACTGCAACCTTGGCCTCCCTCTACCCCTAAAAGCCCCTGCTTCAGGGCACTTCAGAAAAATAGTTTACCCCCCTGCCTAGAACAAAATCAAAACAAAGCAGCATCTCTCTCCTGTGAAATGACACAGGACTAATGGTCTTTTTTTCTTTTATTTCAATCTATCAGAGCTTCCCATTTACAGCTGATAATTTGTTTGGATGTACCTAATATTCCAAAATGTGTTTTTTACTTACAACAATGCCTGGGTAGTAGCCTCCCACGGTAACATTTTCTGTTCGTGTGGTAGCTGCCAGACCTATGGTCAATATGAAAACAGACACCACCAGCAGTGCAACTGTGAACCAAAGTGAAGTCTTCTTCCTTTTTGCAAACTGTCCTGTAGGGAATGGGGGGGGAGGGAAGAAAAAGAGCTTTTCATTACAATCATGGCAGAACAAATACAAAATGAAAGATTTTCTTTTGTTAATGTTCTCTGTAGATTACCCTCTGTTGATCTCCCACTAAGGAAAATTGCTGCTAGACAACAGAAGGAATTAAAACCCGCAGAGTTAGCTAGAGTATAGCTTAATGCACACACATTGGGTACAGGCATGAGATAAGTTTTTATTAAACTGAATTGTAAGTCAGTGACAATTATAATTATGCCTTGTCTTCAGTAACATTTATAGCTGTTGTTCACACTGGCGAGATCCTGCAGGCCTTAAATTCTTACCTGTGTGAAGTGCCAATTTGACTCTACCTGGCCTGAACATAAAAATGAATATTTTAAACAGGATTAGCAGGCACTCTGCATGCTATCATGAAAATGAATGTGCTCTCCATATTTACTGGGGTAAGAAATCTGTATCCATGAAGCAAAGCTGTAATAGAGTTTATCAGGTAATGATACATGAGACTTTTCTAACAGTGGCTGCTCAGTGAAATCCTTTCTCTTTTACTGGGATTTGGATCCAGATACCCCAAAGTGAAAACCAGCACACTCACCTCCAGTTTGCAGCCAGAGGTTACTCACACCAGGGCCCCAGCCCATAGCGGAGACTTATGTAAGACTGACTTTAAAAACCCATCAATACATGACTCTAGCTAACAAAAGACACCCAAGTGAATCAAACTGTGGTCCCCATTTTTGGTGTTCTCACTTTGGCAGGAGCAGCACTGGGCCATGCGATGCCATGGGACCACGCACTGCGCCTGGGCAGGATGGAGCTCCTGAGAGAGCACAGCCTGGCCACAGCAGGGCCAGTCTCTCTCCCTCTGTGGCCTGACTGCCCAGCCTCAGGACGAGGCAGAGATGGTGATGTTGCACTGAAGACTGGAGGCAGCAGCCCTCAGCAGGAAGGAGGAGGTGAGAGGGGAAGGCAGGCTTGCATGGGTCAGGCTCTGGGGGCACTGCTGGAAGCAAAAGCAGGGGAAATGCAGAAAAGAGAAAACACAAGCAGAAGCCATTTGCAATGAGTCACTTGAGTTCTGTGGCCGTTTTCAAGTCATGTAACTCAGTTAAATGTTTATAGTTCAAAAGCCAGACTAGATTAGTGATGTTTGCAAACCAAGTCAAATAATTTCAATCAGAAGAAAAATGAATTTATAATAACAAGCTGTGTTTGCTGACATTTCTCTAGCAGAACAACAGTCAAAGTTATTCCAGTCTTTTAGTATGAAATACAAGCAACTTTCCTAAAGACAAATACCATCTTTTGAGCTTACACAAGTCTCTTTCACCTGCATGGCAAAGTCCTCCTGCTAAAGATAAAGAAATAATTCCTAAGACTTGCCAAACACCTCTTCTCCAGCCCAAGTCTCTGCTGTCTTCCTCTGGCAATTCCATGTTAATCCATGGAGGGTCACTGGGCACATGGAAGCAGAGAGTTTCTTTGTTAGCAACCATTTTTTCACCAAGTGTGTGGAGCTGAAGACAATTCTTTCAGTGAAGCCAGCTCACATGGCCAAGAGGGAAAACTAGATTTCAGATGTGCAGCTCCCCAAATCAGCTGTCATTCCTGCAAACTAAAATGATTCATTAAATATATCTACCAGGTTGTAAATAATATCTGATGCCCTTGCCATACCTTATCATCTCTGAAAAGTCATGGAGATTAAGGAATCTGACAAACTGAAGAAAGGCAAATGCTCCACCTGTTTTTTAAAAAGGCTGAAATGAAGATTCAGGGAATTATAAACCAACCAACTTCACTTTGGTTCCTGGGATGCTGGGACCAAAAAGGTGGAGTAAGTCCTCTTGCAAGACATTTCTGGGTACAGAAGGAAAAGGTAACTGGCAACAGTCAGGATAGATTTACCAGAGCCAAGTCATGTCTGACCAGCCTAGGTGCCAGCTACAGCAAAAAGACTGGACTTGAGGAACATTTGATGTCTTTTGCCTTAATTCTAGCAAGGTTTTTAACATGATGCCAACTCCTGAGCAAAGGAAGGAATAATGCATTGCAATGATACAGGTAAGGGGCTGACAGGCTGCCAAGCAGCTCTGCTGGAAAAGACCTGGGAGTATTGGTAGATGATGAGCTGATCATGAACCAGCAGTGTGCCCTAATGCCCTGTGCAACAGAATCCTGGGCTGTCCTAACAGGAGCATCATTAGTAGATCAGAGGAGCAACTACACCTATCTATTCAGCACTTTTTACACAATATTACACTCAGTTTTGGGCCCTCAGTCCAGGGAAATACGTAAATTAACAACAGTGAATTCAACAGGGGACTGCAGAGAAGGTTAGGGGCTGGTACTCTCTGCGTGAGAAGAGGCTGAGGGAATAGGGCTTGCTCAGCCCAGAGATGAGATGACTTTTGGCAGGGCTAATTGCAGTATTCCAATTCCTTTGAGTTGTTGTCAAGAGAACGGACCCAGACTTTTCGTAATGGTGCACAGCAGGAGGAAAAACGACAGCAGACAAACTGAAATACAAAGAAGTGTCTCAGACTGGGTATAAGGAGGAAAAAACCCACAACATTAGGACAGTCAAACATTGGAACCGGTTTCCAAAAGAACTTGTGCCCTCTCCAACTTTGGAGGTTGTCAAGATTTAAGCAGGAAAAGCACTAAACAACCTGGCCTGACCTCATAGTTAACCCAGCTTTGAGCAGGAGGTTAGAATTGCAACTGAGGTGCCTTCCTACCTGAATTCTTCTATGGTTTTATGATGGTCAAGACAGATAGACTAAAATTGGGTTGGGTATGTGTGCTCATATCCACTGATATGAAACTGCAGCTGCAATGTAGACATACTCTAAAGGGCCATTGGAACACAAACCTTCCCAAAGCCAGTGGGGCAAATGCTCCTCAGCCAAGACTTCTTGAAACCACTGAAAAGTGCCTGAGGAGCCAAGCCTCCACATTTTCCTCAGGGTAGCACCTCTACTGGTAAGGGCTGATAATATTGGATGGAGATAAACTATGGGTCCAACCCACCCTCCTGAGTTCTGATTATGAATAATGAGCTTGATGGCCCTGACTAAGTTTGCTGGAAAATGTCTCAGGACAAGCATGCTCTTGTTTGTAATTGGAGTAAATCTGATGTGGATTTAGTGACAGAATAGAAGAAGATGTCATTATAGGTAGGGACATTTTCTGGTATGAACTACATTTTGACATTGAAACTTAACACATGCCAGAAGAAATTTATGAATGCAATACTCTCCAACCCTCATATTTATTGATCTTTTACCACTTGCATCTCAAAATAGAGGCAAATAGCCAATTGTATCTCCCCTTTTTCTTAGTCCAGTTTGGAAACTCTGATAAATAACCATGTTGTTAGCTGTGAACTCCACCCCTAAGAGAGATACATGCAGCAGCAAAGAAATGCTCTTTCTGGAGAAGAGGCTGGCACATGCAAGGACTTATTCTCAAAGACTTTCACATGCTCAGAGATGGGTAGAAATCAGGCCTAAATTGGTTTTTATCATGGCTGTTTGGCTTTCCTTAGCCACAACAATAAAAATCTTTGCTCTATCAAAATAAGTATAATTACATGCATATAAGCCACCATCATACTGGGAGGCCTATATAATATTTGCAAAGCACCTTAATATCTTCAGAAGTTACAGCTGCAAAGGGTTCCCACTATTAACTTCCTTTTGCAATTTCAGTCATGCTGTGTCCCAAGATTTTTCAAGCCTTTGCTTTCTGCTCTTTGTAGTTGTTCCCATGCAGTTTATTTGGATCCGCTTTTAATGTACCTGCCAGCCAAACCCCAATGCCAGACTCAGAAGCCCTGTCTCCAGCTCAGGCAGTGTGCCTGGCCCAGTCTTCTTCCCTGACACTCTGTGGCAAGCCTTCAACTGAAGGCTGGCCATATACAAGAATAACAGTTAAATTAAGAGCAGAGGAAACATTGCAGTCAATATTTGTAGCCTGAATTTTCTTCCAAAACCAATGTTCCTGGAGTGCAGGAAACAGTTAATGGAGGCTATTCATTTCCAGTTTTTCAGTACTGAAATTAACTCTCAGAATAATTTAACTATCAGAAATATTTTGACATACCTTCAACTTCTTTAACAATGATTTGGTATGAATATTATTAAACTCCTAGTCTGGACCTTAATGCACTTTAATTATAACTTAAAATTCTTATATTTAGCATACCAAAACTCAAGCTTGTAGGAAGAAACATTGTCATCCTTATTAGCATTAGCTTGAGGCTGGGGTCAAGTGAGGGTATGAGTATGTTATTAGCATCTATTGTCAATATTCTTCAGCAGTTTTGGCCAGTGAAGTATTGACTGAGTCTTGGGCACTGAGGTTTTTGCAGTATTAACTGCAGCAATAGGCACTACAGATAAATTAGAGAGGTGACAGAACTTCCACATGACTGGCTTGTGCTTTGCCTGGCGCAGACCTAAACTGTGCACAAAAAGGAACAGTCACAGAAAACACTCTCTGCTTTGCTCACTAAATACCTCTCAGGAAAGGTATCTGTTTGAGCCCTGCTTCTGCAGTGGAAGGTGAGAAAACGCCACCAGACAAGTGAGAGAGACACCAGACTGCCGCCTCCTTGGGACAGAGAAAGGCCCGTGAGGAGGGAAATTTAGATCACCCTCCAGAGAGCAAAAAGAAAAGTGCCTGCTGAAGACCACACTCTGCTGCACTCAGAAAAAAAAACTTCTCTCTGTTCATCAGCTGCAGAAAACAAAATTGTATTACAATGCTCTCTTTGCAATGGGTGGGGTCTAAATTAAATTTGTAGGAAAACTATGGGAAAATGAATAGTTTTGTGGGGAGGGTATGCATGAGATTGCAAAGTGGTGGGTCTAATGATAAATAGTAGGGTCTGGATTTGAGCAAAGAGTGAGCTTAAAAGGAGAATGAACTAATTAATGATGAAATATGTCCATGGTACAGAATGTGTCCAGGGACCAAGGGAAAGAAAGAATAGAACGAAACAGCATCTCTCCACCTTGGAAAACCTCCATACAATCTGCAGCTGAACCAAAAAAAAAAATCTACATTTAGACCAAAGAAACTTTACTTTGCTAACTTCATTACTTCTTTTAAAATCTATCTTCAGACATCATAAAGTTAAAAAGTGTGGCATAATTTTTGGTGAGGAAAAAGGTTGCTGTAGGATGTAGCAGTTAGCTGGGATTACAATCACATTTGCTGAATATTAGCACTACGTAATTCCATACCTTCTTTGTTCTAGTTATGGTGATCAATTTTATTATGTAATGGATACTACTAAAAATTGTGACAAATTTCAGAGAGTGGCATTAAGCACACAGAAGAAGATAATTTAAGTGGAAATTCACCATGGACAAACCTTAGTATCAAAGGTATCCTCTGTTTTGCTGCTATTGAGAAGATTTTTAGGAGATTTTTAGAGCTAGATTATAATTTTTTAATTACTGCAATGCTCACTTCAGTGCCATCTCTCTCTCAACTACAGTTCTGTGTATTTTAAAAACTGTTTCATGCCAGTGAAATTGAGTTAATCCTACATTGCCTCCCAAAATTAAATGTGACGGATTGAGATGCTTAAAAGAGATACTCACACCTGCTGTTGGTGATTACTTTCCCTTTTTTGATTAAATGCTTGACTTGTCCAGACTGCTGAACTAATTAAAGCAGATGCAACAGCACTCATTTCAAGCCACAAGACAGCAGCTTTTATCAGGCCCATCTCTTACCTTTATTATTAATTTATTGAGTAAGATTCTACGAGTGCTCAAGACCAGGGGAAACAGTTTACAATTCTACTACAAAATATCCATACTGAACAAAATGAAAAAGCAATCTCACAAGCCCTCATATGCTATGTAGAATGGCTATAGTAAGTGATGCCATGCAGTATCACAATGACCTCATTGTATTGGCAGCAATTGTTTCACCGATAAATAATTTAATGAGCAGCTAATTACTAGTTTAAAGCTGGCATACAGATTCTTCTTTTTCCAGTGACTACCTGAAAGTGTTTTAAGCGCATCTTCCATGGCCACATTTTCCACACCAACATAATTTTTCTTCCAAGTTTGAGACATAAATTCGGATCTGATACATTTTTCATCCAGCTGTTAAGATCCTTGAGTGCATAGCAAAGTCTCTGCTTATCCTTTCCAAGGCTACACAGAGTAATTCCCAGCATTAAGTTCTGTATTTTCTAAACTTTAACAAATTCCGCTGGAATAAGGAAATACTTGACCTTTCTTTTGCCTGTGTGTTCGTATTTCAGGACGTACGCGGTAAACACGAGCCATTCAATCAAGAGAACCGGGAGGAAGGAAACTAACCCAACACCCGTCCCCAGCCCTGCAGCCACCCCCGCCTCCTCCAGCACAGCCACGGGCCAGCACGATGATGGCTCCCACATTAATTTCCTATCCTCGTCCCGTACCAAGCAATTTCCTGTCCTCGTCCCGTACCAAGCTATTCCTCCGAATGTTAAACCTCCAGCACAGGGATCCACCGAGCGCAGCTGAAAGCTCTAAAGAACCGGTATTTTTAAACACCTCGGCGAGCGAGGATGAGAGGCGGCGCGCACTGGGTACCTCGGGCTGAGCTCCCCCTGCGCCGCCGCTCTGCGGGGCACAGCCAGAGCATAGCCCGGGTACAGCCCGGGTACAGCCCAGGTACAGCCGGGGCACAGCCCGGGTACAGCCGGGGTACAGCCCGGGTACAGCCCCTGCCCGCGCCCTCCCGTCCCGCCGGCCGAGCCCGGGGCAGCCCGGCCGTCCAGCCCCGCCGCCGGCTGCCGCTCTCCCCCGCCGCATCCCGGGGCTCACGCACCCGGCGGGGCAGGTGCCGGGCTCACCTGTGGGGTCCAGCACGGCCAGCGGGCCCGACACGGCGGGGGCGGGCGGCGGGGCCATCATCTCCCGCGGGCGGCTCGCCCCGCTCGGCTCGGCTCGGCTCGGCGGCCGGCGCTGCCCGGGGAGCGGCGGGTCCGCCCCGCGGGGCCGGGGCCGGGGCGGGGCGAGCGGCGCTGCCCCCGCCGCCGGGGGACACACCCGGACCCGGCCCCGCTCCCCGCAGCTGCCGGTGCCGGCCCTCGGGGGAAGAGCGGACCGGGTCTTTCCTTGTGCAGCCGTCAGCTGCTTAATTCGTTATATGCCGTACCCGTGTCTCAGCCTCGGCGTCACTTCTGGATTTCTTCATGGCCAATTTGACAGCTGGTGAAGATCAGAATTGTCCCAAACTTTCCTTTCAGCTTTCTTCTTGCCTTAAAAAAAAATATTTATATATGGAAATCAGAAATAGAATACAAAAGCAACCAGAAATACTAATTACATTACAAAAGCTGGCGTCTCAGAGACATAGGTTAAGGCAGGTGTAGGCTAAGACAGGAAAGGTCAATAGTCAAGAGATGCTGCAGGGCTGTTCTTTTTCTTACATGGTGTCTATTAATTTCTCAACTTCAATGTCTCAGTTTTTATTCCTTCTGCAGATTCTGACTCTTGTCCTGCTGCTTCCCAGGAACTGCCAGCTGTTGCTTCTAGTGTTACTGGCCACAGGGTTGTGTGACTTCTTCCTGCGACAGAGTCTAGCAACAACTGAAAAGAAATAATCAAAGGCACTGTGCTGTTTTGGGGTCCACTGTTCCTTTTGCCTGACTTCCCTGTAGCAGAGAACATAATATTGTGGAAAATGTTTTTCATAGGCTGCCAAGTGCTTTGCTTATATCATGTTCTCCCTCTTGCAAAAAGCACAACTCTACTTAACATTCTTGTTTTTCTTCTGTTACAGCCTCTAAATGTATATGTATAAATGTATTTAAGTTCTTCAGTCTTTGGCAGATTTCCCCAGGAAATGGTTAAGTGGAAAGAGACAACTTTCTCAGGTACTACCCCTGCAGACTATGAAGATAAATCAGCCAGAAGCTAAGGCCAAACACAAATCCACTTTTTCTCTTTGCATCCTCTAACCCAAAGAGCTAGAAAAAGGGAGAAAAAATAGGGTAGAGGTAGTATTTGTATTATTAATTACTAATTTTTAATAGAAATTAATGAAGCAATAGATTGAGAAAACAGAGATGGTGATGGTACAAATAAGAAATTTGTTTGAAAGTGGTAGTGGATAAGACTGATACAAATGCCCCAAAATCTGGTAAAGACTCTGGGGTTTGGGGTTGGCTATGAATAGAAGTTTTCATCAACAGTAAACAACAACAGGGTTGGGAAAGACTTCAATTCTCTAGACAGCTACAAGACAAAGACCATACACAGCATGTATCATTGGGTCTGATGGCAAATAAACTTTTTATCTATCAGCAGTGACTGATCAGACTCGACAGCCTAAAGGGAAGCTGTTCTACAATTCTTTTCAGTAAAATATAAGGATATTATAAATCCTTTAAAAATAATTTGATTAGAGAAAATAACCTTTGATGAATGATTAACATTATTTGCTGCAAATTTCTTTAGAACCAAGAATGAATCTACAAGAATATCCTACAGTCCTGGATATCAGAGGGCAAACATTAAGAAACTATGAAAAATGACTGGTGAGGCTGCATGGACCTAGCATTCGAGCTTGGAAGAATCATGGACTTACTCTAAATCCAAAATGGAAAATCCTGTATAGCACTTACATCCCATAAAAGAGGTTGGAATAGATGAAGAATAATTGTGGAGCTAGTGGATAGATCCTGAAAATTAATGAACCTACAGGAAATAGGAAAAGTACAGGTTGCTGGGTTGGAAACTGCAGGATCAGAGAAAAAGAATGGATAAAAATCTAGCTGAACCAGATGTTGCAAGGAAAGGGATAACAGGTAACAAAGAATTCTTCAACTACATAAATACAAGTGATTCAAAGAAGCAAGATATGTGGTGGCTAAATGCCAGAGATGAGATGAAGGCTGTTCCAAATATTGAATAAATACATTGCCTCAGTTTTAGTGAAAAGAAAAAAATTAAGGTGAGGGTATTTACAGAGAGCATAAAGTAAGCAAGATAATGTAAAAACTATATTAGCAGATGTGAAGTGGAAGCATAAATTAGACTATTTCCTGTGACAAGTCCCAGAAAATCACACCCCAAATGCTGAAAAATTGGTATCTATCATGTCAAGTCCTGAACAACACTTCTGATAAATCAGTGAAGATGGGGTTGAAGCACTATTATTGGAGTTTGTTGGAGAACAGGAAACCTTCTAAACATTCTAAGAAGGCAGAGGGAGGGAGAGGGAAGGAGAGGAACAGCAACTCCATGCCCTTTTAATTCGACGGAGAAAATTCTTAGGGGTAAGAGAAAAATGAGTTCAGCTACGTTATGATTCATCAAAGCTAGGTCATGTCAGACTACCAAGATGTTTGATAAGGTAAGTGATTCCTCAGGCCAAAGCATTGCAATGAAGCAAATCTGTCTGGATGTCTACACATTAATAGGGTCTTTTAGAGGAAAAGTCTTGACATGGAGAGGACAGCTGCAAGTATGGGTTAGCATCAGGTACAGCAATGGCAAATGAGAAGCCAAAATAAAGGGAGACCACCTGAGGTGTACCACTAGGACCAGTCTGGAGGTAAGATCACTGATGTTCTTGGGTTTAGGGAGTGTATATCTGGTCATAAAGCATGTGGCCATCACAAAGCTGGCAGGCACAATTCTATTACTGCTATCACTATTGCTGTTACTGAGGGCAGTGGGAGCAGGAGCATACTAGCACGTTAAAAATGTGTTGAAATGGAGCTTACATACTTAAAAACTAACAGTGGGAGCTTTTACTGTAATTTTTTGAGTCCCCCCCACTTCAGTGAAATTGAGGAAGGATCTATGTATCACTACATGATACCAATGAGAATGCTGTACAACAGGTGTGTGATAGTACTTCTTTTTATAGTTATGTTCCTGAATATCTCCAAAGCAAAAAAATTGTGGGTTTTCCACTATTTTGATGTGTAACTTGGACCTGAATTTTCCTTATTAGTATTCTTAAGATCTTTGTTTCTCAGATGCCTGGCTCATGTACCTTGTTCAAATATCAAAATTAAATAATTTGCTGGATTTTTGCCCAAAAGGAGTTCCCACACTTCAGGGTTAGGCTGGCAAGGGCTGCTAAGAGTTCTTGTAATATGTGTGTTTGTGGCATATTTGTCAAGATAATGTCTGCATTCTCACCCAAAAAGTGCTTTATCAGCACTAAGCCTGAAAGCCTCCATCATGCCCTTGATTTCTTCTTCTCTTTTACTGTGGCACACTGCAGGTTTGAAGCATTTTTGCCTTTTTTCCTACAGGTCATCACTATGATAGTGCATTCTTTGGAACTGAGGTTGGTCACTCATGAGATTTCGATCCTCTGTTCCTGAAGTATTTTCTTCTTTATTTTGAACGTGATCAATCTGTTTTCTTTTCAGCTCATGTTTACTAAGCTAGAAGACATTTCCCTTTGCTTGCCTCTAGCCTCTGTGTCATCACACTGTGGGGCACATCTTTCTTCAAGGGTGATGCACAATGACTGGGCAATATTCACATAATCACAGGTTGGAAGGGACCACAGTGGATCACCTGGCCCAACCTCCCTGTTCGAGCAAGATCATATTAGAACAAGCAAGATCATTGTAGAACATATTGCACAGGATTGTGTCCAAACAATTCAGCTACTTACTGACTCCCAGCTACTTACTTCATCTCTTCTGTACTATTATAATTTACACTGTTTCTCTGTAAAGGGTCAGGTACAGGCTCAGAAATCAGTCACAGAGACTACCAGTGGGAAGCAGCTTAATGCACTTAACTCTTCACCACAGTACTTGGACTACTGTATTCCTCAAAAAGTCCGGGAACTGTCTCCTCCTCTCATTATTTGAATGCCCAGCAGCCAATCATTGCTGAGGCAAAATTCAGGATGCTTAATAAGCTGGCTTGCCCAGTCACACAGGGTCATGACAGCAAGACAAGTAAATTTCCTTGGTTCATAGGATATAAATAGTATTTATTGGCATGGTTACTGGTACAATCCCTTGAGAAGTGCATTGCCTTAGTTCATCTGAGCAGTAGAAGGGAATCATGCAGGAAGTCGCAAAGGAACAACAGAAGTCACCCTGACGTTGAGATAAATGGCCACTGAATATTTGACTAAAATATGGTTATTAAAAGACAATTTCTGGGCAATTATCTTCAAAAAATCTGATTCCTGGTGCCAGTCAGTATCCAGGGTGTGTTTTATTAGCACAAGATTTAAAAGACTCTACCTGACCTCTTTAAAAGGGACTTGAAAAGGTAAGGCTATTTACAGCATAGGCATCAGAAAAAAGTGAATGATACATTCATTTGTGGTATATGTTTGTCAAAAGCAGCTTTAAATTCTTTAATTGCCTTCAGTACACTTTTCACCGATTTGTGCAGTCAGTTTTTGAATTCTATAAACATTTAATATTCACAACATGTTGTGACAAGGAGCTCCATGTGAGCTCTGTGAAGACATGGGATACCCCAATGGGAGCAAGAGGCAAACTGAAAAGAGCAGGATAAAAGTCAAGTTAAACGTCAGGTATATTTAAAGTGACAGGAGAATATACCTGAGGGCAGGTATGTTGCCCTTACAAAACCACCCCAACATAACAACAAGCAAACCCTTGCTACATTATAACAAAAGCTACTGTGTTATTTATTTGTTAATAAAGCTGGATAATGAAAAGTGTGGATAAGGTACTGGAGACCATTCTTATGCTGTAGCTCATAACCATATCAAGACAACAAATCTCTGAGAACTGAAGTAAAGAAAAGGTTTTCAGAGAAGTACCTGTTTTTGAAATATTGTCATACTGATAGAGCTTAAGTTTATATAAGCTGCATATGTACCTCTGCAACATGATTAATAAAGGTGTGTTTGAAAGGTACCAACAATAACACAACAGAAGCATGACTGAAGG